TTAATTAATGTAAGTTGGACATCTTTGCATAGATGTACATGCCAATATATCTCCTTTTTACATAATCTTTTTACATAATCAGTCCCCTATTGAAGACTGTTTTGTGCTTTTTTGATATTACAAATTTTCTAGTACAAACACCTGTAATAGCAAAAACACTGAACAGTCTTCAATAAGGAATAGGTTCAATACATTTAAATGAAATTCTGTGTCAAGGGAACTGCGTTTTAAATTTTGTTAAACACAGCCAAGCTAAGTTTCAAAAATGTACCTCTAATCTACCATCCCACCAAAACTGGTTTTTGTTATTTTATGCATAAACTGTATTTGCTAAATGTGGTTTCATTTCCCATAAATAATTATTTAATATGAGTAACCTCTAGTTTTTGTGTTTTAAAATATATTAACCTAAAGAGAGCATCACAATGTAAACTGCAGGAAGTAATTGTAACAAATGTGGACTTTTCCACTCAACAGTATAATGAGGCTGGAAAGATTGCAGAGGGGTCAACAGGCTTTCCTCCAACATTAGGCAAATTACACCTAACTTTTCCCCCCTACTCTTATGTAATCATAACTTTCCTACTCAGTAAAAATTCTCTCAGTTAACTTGCACATGGCACTTCCATTTACATATTCATTCAAAAGGAAAGTGAAGATAATATTCACAAAATTCTAAATGGTTAGTACATTTATAAATGGAGAACTTGGCAGGCAAATGCCAGGAAAGGGGCATCTACTTGAGGTTGCTAACTTCAGTTATAGCTTTAGAAATTAATAAGGCATCATATCCTTGGTTACTGTCAGTAAGTTAACTGATGCTCCAATCTAGTGTAAAATGCTGGGAGAAAGACTATGAAATCTGCATCATCAACTATCAATAATGTTTGCAAAAATAAAGGAGAATGATTGTACTTAATTCAGATGTGTGTAATTTAATTTTTGTAGAATCAAATTGTTAAGTATGCCTGTGGATGGTGTATGGCAGACACACCAGACAGCAAAACATAAACATATCCTGAGAATGACCCTGTATGGCAGACACACCTCAATGTAGGTTCCGTCTTCCCATCATGGCCAACCCAGAGATTCATCCTTATCTATGAGAACATCTGAGCCCCATCCCATCCTGTGGAACGTGGGCCTTACAGAAGATTGAGGTCCTTTGTTTTGGGTCAAATGAAGGTTGCCAGATGGAGGTTGCTAGGGGGAGGGTGTTAAGTGCAAGCACTATCTAAACTGCATGCTTTCTGCACATGGTGGCACTTCTGTCTAGCCCACTGCCACTGTACTGCTCTGTACATAAGTTCCCTTCAACAAACCCAGTATCTCATTTGCTGGCTCTGGGTCTCTATTTGGCCTCTTGAACCTGGTGCCATCCATACTGAAGTGAATGGGGTCCGGCATGACAGATATTTACAGTTTTGTTACCATTAAAATTTGATCTTTCGGTGAAGTTAAAATTTTTACAAACTGTCATATAATTTAAAAAATTAAAGTCTTGCTTTTTAAATATTCCAATTTACTGATTTCCAGTCCACTAATAATTCTACTGTGTTCTTTCTTAAACACCTGTGTTTTTTTAAACGATTATCCAAAATAAGTTTCCAGTAGCTACAATGTTCCAAAATAATATCCACTGGAACACCTCTAAAATGAAGTCTCATCTTTGAAGTTATTGATGTGGAATAATAGTGAAATTTAACAGTTATATAGGAAAACTAAAAATTCTTTATAATAACCAAAATTTGAAACTATCTTTATCATACACTCCCCATCAGTAATTACTGTAAATTTTTGAGTACTGGAATTTAAAAGACACATATTGTATCTTAGAGTAAAGCTTGAGACCAACCAATGGCAAAGCTATGATTACATTATATATTGTTTATTTGATGGTTCTATTTATGAATGTTTATGGGATATGAAAGTTTCTATATTAAAGGAAATTTCAATATAAAACATTGTAATTAACCATTGGGTACTTCCTGTCTTCAATATTCTCATAACTCATAACTTGCCCAACCCAAATCTCACGAACATGCTGAGACACTCTAAAATTTCTACCCACCACATGCCCTTTCACATGATCTTTGATGCATATCATGATCTATGATACAGTGACTTTCAATAAGCCATATAACAAGTCAGTCTTTTTATTTTATAGTCCTTTTCTTCTTCAGTTTTCTTCTTGTCCCATTAAGATATAAACTTTGGAATTCTTTTCCAATCTTATTACTGCAACTATCTTTTTTTTAAAAAAAAATTATAGAATATTCTATGTCTTAACTTCTCTCCCAAGGTCAATATGTAATATAGGTACTATTCTGTATTTCCAACTGGTCATAGGCACCTGCATATCCCATCAATCCCTTACACACAGGTCTCAAAGTAGATTCATTATCTTTCTTCCCAAAGCTATTATTCCTCCTGTGCTTCTTTAAAGACACCCGGAACTGTGGGCCTGATTTTGCCTCCCCTTTAGCCCATACTTAGTGCTGCAGCTCTGATTATTTTCAGAGACTTCTGGCCAGTGGTCTCTGGGAACAGGGCAGAGTGAGGGTTTATGGGGTGGGTTTTGTTTTTGTTTTATTTTTTAGCAAGAGAAGTAACTTGGGTATGAACTGAAAACGGGCATTACCATTACACAATAACATGTATGTCATGATAATGCCTGACTAAACATCTTCTCTGGCTGAAGCAGCAGTTCCAGATTTTTCACAATTTGTTTCATTTTATGTGAATCGCAGGGCAGGAAAAATATATGAACTCTGAAGACATACAGATATGGACTCAACTCCAGATGTCATCACTTATTTTACTTTTCTCAAGCTCAGATTCCTTACATTTGAAATAATAATAAGCTACCTCATGAGGTTAAGATTAAACGAGGTACACAAAGTACTGATTCTATGTATGCTCTAAATGTGTTAAATGAATTAAAGAATAAATGTTCCTCTACCTGGAATATCTCTTCTCCCAGCTAACTCTTTTTTTCTTTTCTTGTTTTTTTTTTGAGACAAGATCTCACTCTGTTGTCCAGATTGGAGTGCAGTGGGGTGATTTCGGCTCACTGCAACAACCTCTTACCTCAGCCTCAGAGTAGCTGGGACCACAGGCGCACACAACCACATCCAGCTAATTTTTTGTATCTTTTGTAGAGACAGGGTTTCATCATGTTGCCCAGGCTGGCCTCGAACTCCTAGGCTCAAGCGATCCTCCTACCTCAGCCTCCCAAAGTGCTAGGCTTGCAGGCATGAGCCACCACACCTGGCCCAGCTGTCTACTCACCCTTTAAAACCGGATTGCAACTATCCTTAATTTCCCCAGAATTATGTGTCCCACTTTGTTTCTGAACTTCAGCGCATACCTGTTTATCACACACACTGTAATTACTGATGTCCTGTTGTTCAAGTTATATCCTTGATGTCCAAGTTACCTTTTGATAAATTCCTTAAGGATCATGTTTTATTTGACTGTCTACAGCAATTAGTGTAGTTCCTGACAAATAGGAACCACTATTCCCTTCACTATTTCAATAAATGCTGAATGAATATTTTATACACAGCTAACCAAAGGGCTTGTACCATATGCTCTACTAATTTTATTCTAAGAAAGTGTGATGTTCAAATATATTTGAAAAACAGCAGATATTTCAACAATAAACATGTTAATTCTGATTGGGTCATACGTAAAGGCCATGAGAAGAACAAGCATAAATACACCCTCTACATAAAGATAATAGCTCATCCTTACTAAGCATTTATGCTGTGCCATTTACTCTGCTAAGCAATTTACAATTATTTGATTTAATCCAATGACATAACTCTCTGTGGGTTAAGTTCTATTGTTTGCCTTATTTTACAAGATATGCGGAAACCGAGCACTAGAGAAATTACATAACCTCAAGATCACACAAGTAGTGAGCAGTGGTGCCAGGGTTTCAACCCAGAGTTCCTGACTCTGGAGCCTCCACTCTTAACCATATGAAACAGACTTCTTAGCGGTAACTGGTGCTTCCAAGATGCTTAATGTGGTACTCTGACCCGCAATAAGTGAGCTTCAATGAGAAAAACTTAGGATGGACCAACAGCACATTTTCCCATATTCTATCAAATCGTGAAGACACCAAACTATGAAAGGGTCTACCTGCAAATTAAGTCCTTGAAGACAAGTATATGTATATCCCGGGTTTTCTTCCACACGCTTTCAACAAACTACACTTTTCCTCTGAACAGAATATCTTAAAAATAAATAAATAAATACAACTTTGGCTTTCTTTTAATATTCACACAGTAATTATTTTTCTATTATGAACTGAAAACCTAAATACTTAAATACAAAGTCATCATTTCCAGGATAGCCAAGAGCCAAGAACTAAAAAAAAAAAAAAAAAAAAAAAATTAAGGCCGCGTTTATAGTTTTGAGGAATGGGGATCCAAACAACACAGTCCACAAGTCATCTTGGACTCTGAAGTGTGCAGAACTTGCTACAGTATCTAACCAATCACATGGGGGAGTTGCGGGTACCTTGATACCGACAAGTTAGCTTCAAAGTTCCCTTACACGAGCCTCTAAATCAGCTGAGACCAATTATTGTTAATGCTCTCCGGGGCCGTGTTGAGGACTCCCAATTGGCAATCTGGAACGTTTCCAGAACTTGGTGGGGGGGAGGGGGCTCATATTTCGTGGAGAATGGGGGAGGTGAGCCCTGGATATAGGGATAACTTTTTAACTAGCCTTAATTGGGGTCTTTGCGGCCAGGCTGTAAAGATTCCCGCCACACTAATAAGAATCAGCCACGGCCTTTTAATTGGAATGCCGGAACTCTGCCTTGTTTTACTAATATCTTAATAACACGTTTCTATGATGGACATGTTGGTTCCTTGTATTTTAAGACGTGGCCACAAACTGAAGCGATAGCGATCACGTATATGCAGTCCCCCAATCGTCCAAGCCGAATAGGTTGCATGTAGTATCACTCAAAAAACATTCATTACCGTCGGTGTGTTGAGTGGTGAGGGCCAGTGTGCGAATTCATTAATGGAAGTCGCGGGACCCCGAGCGGTTGGAGCCCTGCCACACCCCTCTGCTTGCGTTAAGACAACCTGACCCAACCTCTGGGGAATTGATGCGCAAAATGGCGGTTGCACTTCTGTTCTCCGACACCGGCGCACAATCCTGAGGAAGGACGTCACGTCACCAGGGCAACGACGCTCCTGCGTAAAGGCCCGGCCCAGTGGAAAGTTCAGGGCGTCCCCGGTCTCGCCGCTGGTGCTTCTCATAGGCCCAGTGCCAGACCAGAGCATGAGCGACTCACGTCGTCCCTGGCCAGGCAAATGTTGGCCTAAGCTTGGCGCGAACGAAGCGCGCTATTTCCCTGCTTCCTTTAGGCCAAGCCTGCTGTACGGCAGGGCCCGCCCCCGGAGCGAGCATAGACCGGGGCAGCGAGGCCAGCCGGGCGCCGGCCAGGTCCTGAGCGCGCACGCGCTCTGTTCAGCTCCGGGTGGCGGTCGCCGGAGTTGACGTTAGCCATGGAAACCGAGAGCTGGCCCGGGCGGGGCCACGGTGAGCTTCTTGTTGGGACGCCGCAGCTTTTCTGCCTCCGCATTCGGGCAATAGCCAACCTCCCGGCGGGAGCGCCTAGCCCGGGTTTACCTGCAAAAATGCAGTCCCCGGGATGCCTTCGCGTCTTCGCTTCCCTCGGTTGACTTGAGGTACGTTCGTTGTCCGATGTCCACCTTGGGACTTCTTCAGCGCTTTAATGTCCAAGCCTGTGCGGAGAGCCAAGTTGTTCTTGGAGTATTCATTGCCACAAGAAACACATTTTTCCTCTTTAGTTACAAAACCTGTAAGTGCAATTATTGCGCTTAATGAACTCAGTCATTAGAGATAGTAATGCAGTGTGATTTTAACTTTACTTTGAAAGACTACTTTAGTCTGTTGAATTTGTAGCATTTTGTTTCTAAGAGACTCGTACGAAATGGAAAATGGCACACCCGGAGCTGTGTCCCTTAGATAGAACTGTACTCTCACGCCTTATCTCCAGCTAAACCTCTTTTGTCCGAATTGTTCAACTCATGGGCCCCTGAACGTGAAGCGCTCCTTCCCCCACTGATCTCGATCTCTGTCCCCACAACCTCCTGTCTGTCCAGGACCAGAATTTACTCCAGTGAATCGAAAGTTGTTTTTCATGCCGCTGCATTGGTTATCTGCTTCGTATCCATCATTTTTCACTTACTCATTTTTTACTATTTTTAGGTGTTTGTTTTCTTCATTAAATCATTCCTGCAGTTAGGGCAAAGACTGTCCTTCATGTTATTTGGTATCCACCGCCACTCACGCCAGATCCCCAAACCTTTAGCATAGCATCCAGTTCAGATGTTGCCTTTTTACAAATTTAACTGTTTGGAGCATCTGTTGGCTACTCCTAAATTTCCTACTTAAAGAGCTGCCTTCTAATTATTAACTGCTGTGGAAAATACCAATCGGGGAACCTTTTCTTTTTCCTTTTTAAGAGCTTTATTGAGATGTAATTTACATTCAGTAGAGTTCACCCATTTACAGAATTGTGCAACCCTTACCACAGTCAAGTTTAGAACATTTGCATCACCCCAAAAAGAAACTCTTTACCCTCAGCAGTCACCACCTCCCCCATTAACCTTACCCCACCAGCCATAAGCAATTACTAATCTATTTTCCGTCCCCATAAATTTGCTTATTTTGGACATTTCACAAAGATAGGATAGTACAATATGTGGCCTTTTGTAACGGGCTTTCACTTAGTGTGTTTTCAAGGTTCAGCCATGTTGTAGAATGTATGAGTACGTCATTCCTTTTTATAGCCTAATTCCATTGTGTGGATATATCACATTTTATCCATTCATTGATGAACATTTGGGTCGTTTTCATTTTTTTGGCTGTTAGTAATATTTCTTCTATGAATGTTTTGTGTACAGATTTTTGTGTATACATACATGTTTTTATTTCTGTTGGGTGTATACCTGAGAGTAGAATTACTGGGTTATATGGTAACTCTAGCCTGTTGAGGAACTGCCAGACTGTTTTCCAAAGGAGCTGTATCATTTTACATAACCGCCAGATATGTTTGAGGGTTCTGATTTCTCCACAGTCTCATCAATACTTATTATTGTCTGCCATTTTTATTGTAGCCAGTCAAGAGGATTTGAAATGGTACCTAATTATGGTTTCAACTTGTGTTTTTCTAATGAGTAATGATGTTGAGCATCATTTTATATTTTCTGTGCTTATTAACCGCTTGTATATCATCTTTGGTTAAATGTCTATTCAGATCCTTTGCTCATTTTTTAAAGATTGGATTATTTGACTTCTCGTTATTAAATTGTAAGAGTTCTTTATATAGTCCAGTTGTAAGTCATATATGTATATATATACGATTTGCACAAATTTTCTTCCATCCTATAGGTTGTTTTCACTTTCACAGTGGTGAGGACCTTGTTTTTTAAACACTTTCTCACTTGTTACAGGGTACAGGATACCAATCCCCTCATGCTGGCTTAGCTATCAAAAGTTTCCCATTTTTACACTTTGTAGATTCCTCTTGGACCCACTTTTCTCCAAAGAACCCTCTTCCCCCAAGTTATCCTTCCAGTTCTCTAGCTTCAAAATGAAATTCCCTTTCATTTGGCAATTGTTAGTCCAAACTGCACCATTTTGTAACTCCCCCCACCATTTTGCAGACCTTGGTCAAAGTAACACATTCCACGGGAGTTTGGGCTGTGAGAAACATCCTGCCTAACCACCTGACCACAGTGCACAAGAACATCCTTATCATACCCTGCTAAGCAAAGGCCCGACTGAAGGAACATCCCTATCATACCCTGCAACCGGAAAAAAGGGCCAAACCACCTGATCATAGGAACATCTTATCAATATCCTGCCGGGCAGTGAACCAGACAGCCCAGACCCCTTCTGCCCATACCTGTAAGTCCCCAGCCTGTGAACGGCGGTAGGCTCTGGCGTTAAGCTGCTCCCCCATCTCTGCAGGTTTTTGCAATATACCTGTGTTGCTGTAGAGCCCCCCCACCCCCATCTCTCTTTAACCCCCACCTTCCCTTTTAAGAAAACCTAACAGCAATAGCATGGTATGATTTAAAAACTCATTCTGCCACTAACTGACGTTGTATCTTGGTTAAGTCACTTAATATCACTAGTTCTCAGGTTTTTTTGTAAAATTAATTAATTTCTTTCTGGTAATTCATGTGAGTAGCAGACTTTCACCTGATACTTGATTTTAAAAGAAAAGTTTTTCAACCCAATTGAATTTGTAGTGGGTGTCAAGAAAAATGATGGGACAAGTCTCAATCATTTTGGATTTATTTGCCAAAGTTAAGGACGTGCCCGGGAGACAAGTCTATGCCTTTCTCTGAAGATGATTTTGAGGTGTCCAAATTTAAAGGGGGAAAGGGCAGGATATTGAGAAGGACACAATTGTCATATAAGAGGTAGGTAGGGGCAAATAGTCGTTTATGCCTTTGTCTGGCTCAGTGAATCTGCATTTTTTACATAAGATGACATAAAAGGGGCAGAGGAAAAAATGGGGGGAATCTGCATTTTACGTAAGATAACAGACAAAATGGGGTGGGAAACAATCAGATATGCATTTATGTCTGGTGGGCCGGGGTAACTGCCCCTGTAAGCTATCAATTGGCATTGCCATGATGAAATTTTAGCTCACTGGGAATTTCCTTGTGGGCAAAATACAGGGGAAGTGTGTAGCTTTCCATCTTGTAGCCATCCTGTTTAGAAACCAAAGGGGGAGACAGATTTGCATGACCCAGTTCCCAGCTTGACTTCTTCCCTTTGGCTAAATGAGTTTGGGGTCCCAAAATTTAATTTCCTTTCACATTTCCCTTCTTTTTTCTGTAAAATCTTTTGGAAAAAGCATTTTAAAAGGAATACGAGTTCCTGGCCTCAGGTTGTTTTTTCCTCCCTTTTTCAAGCTGCTTTCTTACTGCTAGGATGGTTTATTCCTAGCAGTTCAGGTCCCCAGTCTCTAGGAAGGCTCATTCCTAGGAAGTCATGCCCCATGAAGATTAAAAACAACAGGGAGAGGAAGGAAGTAAAAAAGGAAAGGGAAAAAAAGAAAAAATATGTAGGCCAGATTTATAGCAACAAAAGGAAATCACACCTGGAAGCTGGGTCAGGCTATATTACTGCCTTCTCAATTAGAGCAATTTTCTAGGGAATCATTACCCTAGCCCTTTCAGTTGACATATTTACAGGCACATCCCATAACAACACTGTAAGCAGAAACAGGACACAACACAAATTAATATTACTAATATAAGCAATAAGCTTCTGCCACCAAGTTCCCCAGGATCCAAACCCACCACTCAACCAGTTGATTAACGAGGGTTTTGGATCTAACAGGTATCTGGGTTTTCTGGGTTTTCATATCAGTCATAAGTCAGGTTATGTTCTTCAATTCATCTGGAGTATAAACGCAACATTCCGTTTTTATGATGGCGCAGGTCCTCCCTTGTGCTGCCGTAAGTCTATCTAAAGGCATACAGTTTTGCAGCACAACTTTCCTCATAAGCATGACTTCCTTGTTTAGCGAGGAGATACTCATGCAGCTATCATTCAGGACCTTTTGGGTGTAATTCATTAAAGCCTCTATATGCCATATAACATCTTCAATACCTATCTGTGGTACAAAGATTCAAGCTAAGTGGTCATACCATTGAAATACCAAATGTGTCCAACAAGATTGTAAATGAAAAAGGTTTGCTGGTTTTGGCAGGGTCTGAATTACTTATCCTTGTGCCCAAGCATAACCTAGGGAACATTGTCCTAACCACTCTGGAGGTAACCACGGCCATAAGTTAGTGCCACATAGCCAATATGTCCCATTTGGAGCTAGCCAATAAATACCTGGTCGTTGGCACCCAATGGGTGGCATGCCATTCAATGTCTTGTAATATGATAGTGTGGTCACATCGTTTTCCAGGTATCTACCCCATATCTCTTGTACTGTTTGGACATAGGTCCTTGGTGTGATTTATTTGCTCCCAGCACAAAGCATTTTGGCTGAGTTGGCCAAATGAAGCGGTGAGCCAGATAAATCAATACCAATTTAAAAGGCCTATGTTGGCCGGGCGCAGTGTCTCACACCTGTAATCCCAGCACTTACAGGTGGCTGAGGCGGGCGGATCACGAGGTCAGGAGATCGAGACCATCCTTGCTGACACAGTGAAACCCCGTGTCTACTAAAAATCCAAAAAATTTGCCAGGCGTGCTGGCGGGTGCCTGTGGTCCCAGCTACTCAGGAGGCTGAGGCAGGAAA